TAGCCACGTAGGAAGATGTAGACTTTCTAGTTGGCGTCCTTGGGTCGGTAAACAGCAATGGCTGGAGACAATTGGTGCTATGGTTGGCTGGCGCAGATGCATCCACTCCTTGTGACTTATAATACCCAACATAAAACTATATTATTCTTCGTTATTACTATTCTTTTTTACCTCAAATCTCTGTTCACTGTCACTATTTTGCATTTCTTTTTATTTTCTTGCCTTACTCTTTGTGTGCTACAAGGAGTGGAGGAGTGTGGCGAGTCGAACTGCTGGACATCTGTGCAAAGTAATTCTATGTTGAAACCAATCAGTCAGTCAGTCAAATGTTTTTATAATTGCATTGAATCATTTTCTCTTTCACCTTTCTCCTCTCCTCTATTAGCTTCCAGGTGCCCGTTGAGAGCCATTCCTTGTCTTGTTTCTTGTTTCTTCCTAAAACCGTTGAACATGTTTCGTTGAAAATCACCTCCAGAGAGTTCCAATGGTCTCCCACGGATGATTTCTCAGTGATGCCACGAAGTGTTTCCTGCTTTGCTCTGACAGTTGCAGTGAAGGTGTCCTTTGTGGTTGTGTCCTTCAGTTTGTGAGTGTTGAACTTGCATTGTGGCCTATCCCCAGCTATCCTCGAGGCTTTCAGCTTCACCTTGAAAGTCCCTTGTACTAGATAGTGGTCTGAACCCACATCTGCTCCTCTCCTCGATCTTGTGTCCAGTAGGCTCCGTCTCCACTTCCTTGAGATTGAAATGAAGTCTATCTGGTTTGTTTTGGTGTGTCCATCTGGTGAAATCCATGTCGCCTTATATATGTCCTTGTGTTTGAACACACTGCCACCAATCACCAAATGATTGAAGGCGCAGAAGTCTGAGAAGAGTTCACCATTGTCGTTCATTTCACCGAGGGCCTCGCGACCCATGATGAGTTCTCTTCATGTATTGTCTCTTTCCAGTTTCGCATTCATATCACCCATCAGGATTCTGATATCAACATTTGGGACGTTGTTCATTACTGTTTGTAGTTGACTGTAGAAATCCTCCTTCTTCTCATGTTCTGAGGCGTTTGTAGGCGCATAGCATTGAATGACTGTAACCTTCTTTCCTTTTGAGTTGAACCTGGCTGTCATTATCCTGGAGGAGATTGGTTCCCACTGCATGAGAGCTTTGGCTGCTGTTGGTGACATCATGATGGCTACTCCCTCGGTGTGCTCGTGATTGTCCTCTGGGTGACCGGAGTAGATTATTGTTTCTCCAGTTAGTAGTTGGCACCTTCCACATCCGTTCCATCTGCTCTCACAGATTCCCAACACTTCTATTTTATATCTCCTCATTTCTGCGGCTACTTGAGCAGCCTTTCCAGTTTCGTACATTGTACGAATATTCCACGTCCCCATCCTTATTTTTGCTTTCACTGCTAGTAGGGGTAATCGATTCCATCATAAGCGGGGGTGGAGTATACTCAGGGGGGTGCGTGTAGTTATGATTATGAAATTGCACGGTTGTCTGTCATACATATCACTGAAAAAATTATTCTGCCTATTTTGACGTTTTCCAATGCCGATCAATATGACCGAGGAAGATTTTAAGTAGTAATAACGTTGATATAAGAATAAAACTTGTGCACTGTGCTGGTAGAGTGTAATTCCATTATGGGTAAATTTTGTTTTGATAAAGTCTCACAGTGTTATACAGTAATATTTACTGATGACCACGTTTCGAGCACAATTTATTGCTCATAATCATATCAAGGTAATCACACGAATTCCTAAATTCATTTATATAGTTCCATTGTTTTTCACTTGATTTGATTGGTAGTAGTATTTTCCATATTTCAGGTATGAGTGATGATTCATTTCCATTACATGTGTTGGGTGTAGATTCGATGAACCAGACAGGATTCAGTAATCAACCTCTCTCTCTCCACCTACCTAGATTACTTCTTAGAATTTTAACCCTCTCCCACTCTATTGTGTTTTAATGCGTGAAGTGCAATTGCTGAGCTTTTTTCTAAATTTCTTACCTTCTTGTGGTCAACCATTCTTACCTTAGTTAAATTCTTATGTTCTGACAATCTGACTACCCCCGATCTACTAGTTTTATCTATGTAGTTGACCGAACTCACAGTCATTGCAGGGTATTTTGTAAATTATATTATTTTGCTTAATTGGGCCCACTGGGTCCTTAAACCTACAGAGCTTGTCGCTGAGTGGGTTTGTAAGTTTAAATGCCACCCTAATTCCTGCTTTATTAAGAATCCAACGTAGGGAGTGAGTGTCTCAGATGTCCCCTCTTTATATAGTAGAAGTGTAGATGCCTTATATTCTCTCTTATTTATCTTATTATTACTAGTTTCACAATTCTTTTTATTTTGCTTTTGGCCTTTTTCAATCTTCCTAATGAATTTTAAAGGATAGTTATTTAACACCAACGCTTCTTCTCTCTGTTTCATTTCATCATTTGTGTCTTTTCTTGTGCTACTTAGCGCTACTACTCGGTTTGTTAGACACTTAACTTAACTGAGCCTGCCTTAACAGATAACTACGGATGAGATGAATTAAAGTCTAAATATCTATTAGAATGCATTGGTTTTCTATAAACACTAGTGTTCCGTTTACCTTCTTCTATTCGTTTTATTTTACAGTCTAACATCTTGGCTAATTCTCCCTGCTCATTTTCGGCTTCAAATGTGAATTTTATTCCCTCTACTAGTGAGTTTACGTGTTAATGCACATTCTGCTCGAACCTTTTCTGCTTTAAACATTACTGTATAACACTGTGAGACTTTATCAAAACAAAATTTACCCATAATAGTAGTAACGTTATAAGTGGAAGCAATTTAATACACCCCTGAACATTGTTGCACTGCTTGTTTGTTAGTGAGGCTTTTCAAATTCCAACTGCGACAAGACTTTGGGTTTTTGCTGCTATTCACAAAGTTCCGCTCATTCTGCGTATACATTCGATTGATGTAATTCATGTAGGGAGAAAAGTATAGAGAGAGAGAGTGTGTGACATCTCTAATTCTACTACTGCATAAGTATTCGACTTCATGCTCCATGCTACAAGTAGTTGGTCGAAGCAAATTACTTCTCACCGTTTTCGTGTTGTCTAGAATAGTTGTTGTTCTCCTGCAATTTTGTCCAATTTATTTCTTCAGCATCAGATACTTTAGACATTCAGTCGCCTTGATCTTTGTGAAGCTATTGAGCGGATAAAGTGCGCGCCCCGTTTCTACATGTAAACATTTATGTTCTTTCTTTTATTAAAAACTATCTGTCTGTCCCCGTCTGTTTTCGACATAGAACCTATTCTGCACCAATGTGCACCAGTTCAAGTCACCACACTCCCCACTCCTTGTAGTACACAGTACAGCAACATGAAAGAACGATATAGTTTTATATATGGTATTATAAGTCACAAGGAGTGGATGCAGCTGCGCCAGCCAGCCAGCCATTGAGAACGATGAGTTTGAGCCGGCCATATCACCAGTTGTTTCCAGCCTTCATTGTTTTTTACCGTCCTCAGGACCACAACCAGAAAGTCGGGAAGTCTACACCTTCCTACGTGGCTGGCTGGCTGGCTTAAACTAACTGTTGTGGATTTCTTCATTGACTGATGAAGCCATGTTTTGGTTTGACCACCATTGGCTAGCTCTTTTCCAGCCTGACCAATACCATGTCAGCCAGCTAACATTACCCATTGTCGAGGAAGGTGATCGATGAATAGGCATTCATTCGTCACACATGTCCAAACCACCTCACTCAGTCGATGTAATTTCACAGCCTCATTGGCGATTGATTTCCCCTCACACCTACCTAGCACTCGACCGATCCCTATCCTCACCAACTAACACGGGTGATAGAACGCAAACAGGCACCTATGATCAAAGACAGCTAGCCAGCCTTTTCATGTCTTCCACTCTCAATGGCCAGGTCTCACTCACAGCCATAAAGCAGGACGTATTGAAGTGCTGAGCAGTACACCCGCCCTTTTGTTCGACAGCCAGTCATCTGAATATCACGTCTACTAAGCCAGAGACGGCGTAAAAATCTGGCGGGCGTATGCGAAACTAGCCCTCTGTATCCGTACTCAGCTGAGATTTCGTCAGAGATCAACCCGTTGGCACTGGCTGATGGTACTTCCCAAATAAGTGAAGCGGTCAACGTGCTCCACCAACCACTTCACTCCCCATTTTTCTAAACTAGGAGTCAGTTTAGTCCAGTCAGTCCTGTAACATCATCTTATATTTGACAATAGGAGCGAATCGTTCGCATGCCAAACATTCTCAGATTGCAGATCAAGGTGTTCAGAAGACTATGTCTGCATTTTGTCAGCGTCCTCGCCTAGAAGGACTATATCGTCACATTGTTTTACCACTTAACATGGGAGGTAGAACGCAGGCAGGCACCTATGATCAAAGACAACTAGCCAGCCTTTTCCTTTTTTCCACTCTCTATTTCCAGGTCTCTTAGCCGGGCACAAAGGAGGACGGCGCGGACTGATGAGCAGTACACTCGCCCTTTGGTCGATAGCCAGCCGGATATCACGTCTCTGGTGTATATATGATATCCGGCTAGAGATGTTTTTGATTTCATTTTGTAAGTTTGATAGAACAGAGGAACTGCAGTCAGTGATGAAATGGCAATTTCTGAAACTGTCAGTCTAATAGTATTTAATTGGTGGATGGTGACTAGCAGTGGAATCCAATCCAGGATGCGCATTTCGTCTTATTTGGGACTCGTCATCTGGCTGGATGTACCTGCATTTCTCAGTGAGAGATGATGCTCAAGAAGCCGACATGTCAACCTGAGACCAAGCACTTCGGTCCAATCAATCAATGGACGGGAAAATCTAAAATTCAATTAAATATGGCGGTCTAATAGCCTAAATGTAAGTGACCAGCTTAATATATTTTTGGGTAGAAACACAATTTAATATGGGTAGTTATTATTATTATTATTATTATTACTATTATTATTATCACTAGTAATAACAAAAACTTACAGTTTATACTCTTTCAGCACTAACACCTCTCCGTGGAGGAGGAAGAAGACTTCGCCAGCCCCCCCTATCATCTAGCTGTTTTCTCAGATAAACGGAACCATTCGGCCGTCCATAAATCCAATTGTATACTGAACTCATCCGTTTACCGGCTTGAAAACGTGTCGATGAATTTTCTGGTAATCGATAAGGAAATATACCACCTTTTATGACACTGGGTAATAAATTTTCAAACAGATTTAATGCACAACAAATATTAATGAATGATGGTCCGGCTATTGTTAAACGTCTTCTTGGCAAACCTTTAAAACATGTCATTGAAGGGTTCAGTTCACTTAAATGAACTTCTGTACCAGACAATCGCTCGATTGAACGTATACGACGATCAGAATAGGCATCACGGGCACATTTTGTCCCGAGAACCTCCTTGACATGATCTGGATTTTTTAATCGTGATACCTTATCCATAAAAGCTTTTCTACGAAATGGCATTAGATCATCGTCTATCTGTAAGGAAATTTTAAATTGTAAATAAAAGAAAAGTAAATCAGTTTAATAGTTTTCTAATATATAATAATAGTAATAATATATATTGTTGTTATTATTATTATTGTTTCGTTTAATTCCTAGAGGAACATGAGGCTTCAACCGTGCGTTCGGTTCTCTGCTAGAGTCTTCACCTCTTCACATGACCTCCTCCTCCAAGTCACCCTCACCCTTGGACGACCAACTCGCCGCTTCCCTTTCAGGTTCTACTTGAGCAATGGCTTGTCTAGTGATGTCACTTGATGGTTTGTTTCCTCAGAGTATGGCCACAATCCAATCCATCTCCATTTCTTCCTGCCTTTTCTGGCCGGCCGACCATCTGATCTTGAGTATTGAGCAAAGACAACTGTTATTGAAGGTCTGTAGTTTGTTTGAGATGCTATTTATGACGCGCTGGCCAAGTTTCTGATCCGTATAGTGAGTAGCACTGACTGACTTCACATTGGAGTTGAAAATCCGGATCTTATTTTCATTTTCATGCTGAGTGATGAGTGCTGTTGACCTCCACACAGACTTGAGAGTAATGAAAGCTTGTCTTGCTTTCCCGATCCTCGCTGCTTTGATATCCTCGTCAGTTCCGTCGGCCTGTAGTTGAAACGATGCTTCCCAGGTAGGTAGCTAGGTAGGTGAGGGAGGTTGTTTCTTTCAGGTTCCTCCCATTTATACTGGCTGATTGTTGTCTGTTGTTGTTGTTGCTGTTGTTGTTGCCCAGGAATCTTCATCACCCCTGTTTTCTCTATATTCACCTGAAGGCCTAACTTCTCTGGATGCATCTTCTGCCAACTTGTTGCTTTTCACTTACATATCTCCCAATTTGTGAGCAATCAGACATATATACCACATGGGTCCATTTTATGCCTGTTTCCTAACTTCCCTGTCCGCTGTTTGTCGCATTATCCAATCTACTACAATCAGGAAAATCATTGGCGATAGTAGACAGACTTGTCTTACTCCTATATATATATATTGTTATATGTGTATATATAATAAATATATCACATAATATATAAATAATATATGTATACAATGTAATATATAATAAATGAGGTTACTGAAGCTGTCATCAGTCTGAAGCAAGGCAAAGCAGCGGGACCTGATGTAATTACTCCAGAGGTATTTAAGTACGGTGGACACAGTTTGCTGTCTGCATCAACTGAGGTTCTAGGCAGTGTCTGGGAATCAGAGGAAGTCCCGTCGGGTCGGTGTAAGTCATTGGTTATCCTCATCATATACAAGAAGGGAGACAAGTCTTCCTGTGATATAACCACAGAGGGATTAGCTTGACTAATACGGTGGCATCTGAAGTCCTAGGCTCCATAATCATGAGTACACTACTAAGTGGTGCTCAGGAGGAACAAACACGAGAGAACCAGGCAGACGGGCTTTAAACCAGGGAGAGAGTGTACTGATTGATCATATCTTCACCCTTCGACAGATTCTGGAACATAGGCCTACTTACCGGCGTCCAACAATCGTCATATTTCTTGACCTAAAGGTGGCATTCGATTCTGTCGACCGAGAGCTTCTCTGGCGATGCTTGGCTGTAAAGCGAATGTGGAGAAAATACATTGCACTGATCAAGGCACTCACTATACTTGAACTCATGCAGCCAGCCAGGTGAAGGCTTACGGTGAGTTGTCATCTGAAATGGTGACGACTAGTGGTGTCCCTCAGGGATGCCCATTATCCACATTTCTATTCAATTTCATCATAGATATCGTACTAATGGATATAACCCTAACTCACTTCAGAGACTCCGGGATTGACTTGCTATCAGGGGTTAATCACATTGACTTAGAATATGCAGATGATATAGTCCTCCTAGGCAAGGACGCTGACAAAATGCAGACACTGTCTTCTGAACACCTTGGGCTGCAATCTACGAATGTTTGGAATGCGATTCCCTCGTGCTGCTGTCAAATGTAATATGATGTTACAGGACTGACTGACTGGACTACACTGACTCCTAGTTTAGAAAAATGAAGAGTGAAGTGGTTGGTGGTGAAGCACGTTGACCACTTCACTTATTAGGGAAGTACAATCACAGCCAGCGGCCAACGGGTTGATCTCTGACGAAATCTCAGCTGAGTATGGATACAGAGGGCTAGTTTCGCACACACCCGCCAGTTGACGCCGTCTCTGGTTTAGTAGAGGTGATATCCGGCTGACTGGCTGTCGACTAAAGGGCGTGTGTACTGCTCAGCAGAACGCTCCGTCCTCGTTTATGGTTGTCAGTGAGACCTGGCCATTGAGAGTGGAAGACATGAAAATGCTGGCTAGCTGTCCTCGATCAAAGGTGCCTGCCTGCTTTCTATCTCCCATGTTAGTTGGTGGTATAATTAGGTGAGCAGTATTGAGGTTAGGCATCGACCAAGTGCTAGGTAGGTGTGAGGGGAAATCGATCGACAATGAGTCTGTGAAATTACATCGACTGAGTGAGATGGTTAGTGCATGTGTTACGAATGAATGCCTAATCATCGATCGCCTTCGTCGACAATGGGTAATGTTAGCTGACATAGGATTGGTCAGGCTGGAAAAGAGCTAGCCAGTGGTGGTCAAACCAAAACATGGCTTCACCAGTCAATGAAATCCGCAACAGTTAGTTTAAGCCAGCCAGCCATCCAGCCACGTAGGAAGGTGTAGACTTCCTTATCGGTTGGGATCCTCGGGACGGTAAAATCCAATGAAGACTAGAAACAGTTGGTGATATGGCCGGCTCAAAATCGTTCTCAATGGCTGTCTGGCTGGCTCAGATGCATCCACTCCTTGTGACTTATGACTTGCAATAAAACTTTATCGTTCTTCGTTATTACTATCCCTTTGTCTCACCACATCTCTGTTTACTGTCTCTATTATGCATTTCATGTTTACTTTATTCTCTTGGTTTGTGTGCTAAATGGAGTGGAGGGAGCGTGGCGACTTGAACTGGTGCACATCGATGCAAAGTTCTCTGTCGAAAACAGACAGACAGACAGATATATATGCATATATATATCACTGAGGAGAACCTTCTTTATGGCTGATCTACATATAAATTTCTACAGCCGGCAAAGGATCAATGGACGTGTGAAGGATAAACTGCCGCTTTGCACAGGCTACCTCAATGTGTGTTTATAAATCCACCTGCTCGTGTGGAGCTAGTTATATTTGCCGCCCGCAGAACTTGGCGCACTCTTTCCAAACGCATCTCTGAACATTATCCGGCACTTTGTGGTTAGCAAAAGGACCATGCAAGACGGTTACTAGCTCAATTCCCAAGCACTTGGGGAACTCAGGCCACGCAGCTCCACCAGAGTCGTCTTTCAAGATCATCTACAAGGTGAGGCCAAATGTTACAAAGGGCGTCAGGTTCTGACTTTTGTGTATGGAGCGGAGGCGCTGGCAATTCAACGTCAATACAACCCCGAACTCTGTATACAGAAAAAAGTTTGTCCAGTCTCTTATTCTACCTTGGTCTTAACCTCTTCACTAGTCGTCCCCTGTAAAAAGAGGAATTTTGATTTTTTCTTTTCCTTTTTTAATTTTTAATTTTACTTTTAGTTTGCTTTTGTTTTACTAATTAATTCACTGTCATATCACTCTCATATGTTCCCTGTTGTCGATTTTTACACCCTCTTCACACTTGGACACCTAACTACCACCTTCTCAGCATTTAACCACTAGCGCATTAAGTTAAACCACTGTGAGGTAATGGTCATTCAGCAGTTGTGAAGATATGTTATCTTCTGCATACCAAATTGCACACAGTCACAGATACACACGTACACACATGCATACATACGCACATACATAATCTATATGTACTCCAGCTGTCTGTGTCGAACAACAATCACTTCGGGTGAATAATACCTTATTTCTTCGTATGAACTGTTGTCAAGGTTTGACAGAATATTCATTAAAATGAAGGCTCAATGGTATACGAGTTCGCCTTGTAACCAGAAGGTCCTGGGTTCAAATCCTGGTGGGTGCGTACTGCTGAAGAATCCCAAACTAGGGCGAAACAGCTGTCCAGTACTCCCAGGTTTTCCAATACTTCTCTAAATAACGTCAGCTCATGATGAAAATCCTGTAAAATAAAAGTTTTCTTGTATTTCCCAATACATGAATGAAAAACAAAACGAAATTATCTTTGCTCTTACTTACGTTTCGCTATTCAATGCTGCTGCTATAATAGCTTTATCAAAGCAGTGTTATTATTAAACCAGAACAATTTACAAAATCCACTCAGCATATATATCTATAACAAAGAGTTAAGAGGTGGGTGAGAAAATAGACTACTTAGGTCAACTTAAAAGGACTTCGGATCATCACACCCCGACATCAGCGCAAAGGTATCAGTTGTTTCAATTCTTCTTAGACAAACACACTCTCTGACTGACAACGGATGAGAAAGAAAAAGTGGAAGAAGAAATATCAAACATTACTGAAACTCTCGTCAAGCAAAACAACTACCCAACGAACTTCATTAACAAAATCAACACTGACATTAAGTATGGTCGAAAACGCATTCCGAAAACATGGATGGACCTCAACAGTTGTCATTCCATATAGAGCAGAGACGTCAAACAATATCAGAAGAGTACTCAATCAGCTCGATATTAGAGTTTTATTCAAAACATCAGACAGGCACACTGCGAAACAACCCTGTTCATATCAAAGACCAAATCCCTAGAGATTCTCTATCTAAGTGTGTCCATAAAATAAAATGCTTGCTTGGAATGTGATTCGATATACATCGGACAAACATCACCAGAGAGAAATCAAAATCAGAAGAAATGAACACCGTAGAGTGAGCATCTGTTCGACCACCGAGAAATAAATGCAGTTGAACTAGAAAAACCTGAAAAATCATCAGCCGTGGGTGGTGGACTACACGCTATAGAATCAGGCCACAAAATTGATTTTGACAATATTGAAATCATCATCCAGAAAAAGCATTTCAGAAATCACAAAGAACGTCT